GTGTTAATACAGTAATGGCTGACCCTAGCAGATGAATCCACAGTGATAGGCGCACTTTTCTGGATTTGCTTCCAGAGCAGTGGCTTGTGGGGTGATGAGGCGGAGTGCCGCATTGGTAGAAATATTTTGTGCAAGGGGTCCTCACCACCGTCCTCCTCCATAAAATGCATTAGCATCGCGAGTGTATCCACCGATTCCACATCTTGTTCTGAAATTAGGTTGTGACTTTTCCTTCCAATAGACTCTGAAATGAATTCATGAAAATCAAAATTCGGTAAAAATTAGTCGATATGTCGACAAAAAAAATTTAATGAGCTTTAAGAACCAAGCACTTTTCTTAAGAAGCTTATAGTATCTTTTAAATATTTATTATTAGCAGCACTACTAACATTCAAAATTGACGGCTGTTTTTATCAAAATAATTGCCTGGCATTGTCAAGACCAAACGGACTCTTAGCTTCTTTTATTCTTTTTTTATCGATCACAGCCAAAAGTTCGCTTTTTTGCTTTTCCAATATACTCATTTTGCACTGATAATAGTAATAATCATTAATCAGTGGTAATAATTCTTATCACTTCTAATAATCATTTTTCAAAATAAATGCCAAGACCGCTCAAGCTATCAGTGTGGATGTCTCATCTTAGTGATGTTATGGGGATGCTCCCAAGTGGCGAGAGCAGATATACCAGGATCTTCGATTCTGGACCCAGAGTAAATAATTTGAAAAATATTTAGTAGAATATACTCAAAGTGTTAGTTAGAACCATCTTAATATTCTTATTTATACTAGAGAAATTATCACTAACTGAAATAAATTCTTTTATCGTTAAAGTAATTTCTTTTACTTTAATCACACCATTCTTATACTTCAGCCAATTTTTTGACAGTAAACCCAGTCAGGGAATTCAAGAAAATATGCCTAAGCAAGTATTTACATTTTATTTTGCTAAATTCATTAGATTTAATTAAAACCAAATTACACAACTGTAACTGGTCACTTAGGAACCTGTGGTGATTCTCTTTTCGTTAAATTGACACATTTGCCTCTAGCTGGCGGGAAATATTTTTTAAAAACGATTAGTTTACCTCTAAGTTTGCTTTATTTTGATTTTAACTCATCTCAGCTAGTTAAAAAAAATTATCCTACTTCTATGATGAGCCATCGGTGAAATGCTGCTCTTCCTTGCTGACAGACGTGGTGCAGTGATTAGTCCACGACGATCAGTGAGTGATGTCGATCGGGAACCACGATGAGCATGTCTCCTTGGCGCATTCGATTCTCGTCGATTTGGTCGCTTGTCGAAAAATCCATGAATAGCATGTAGCGATG